TAGGCAGTCAATGGAACGAAGGTTTTACGATGCAAGACGACTAAATTCCTTCTAATTACTTGCCATCTCTGTAATCCTGATTTTTATTTATTTGGTCATTAACTCTTTGGCAAAGAAAGACTAACTGCAACCAAATACAATGGTATAATAAAATTGCACACAATCTCTCATGTGCCAACCACATTGAAAGGTTTTTGTTTTTTGTTTTAAATCCATTACCTTAGGGAACCTATATTCATAATCATAACTCAATGTAGTATTTCAGTAAGAGGCAATTCCACATATATGCAAAAAGTTGTTTCCTATGTGGTTCAACTGCAATCTCCCTTCTTCCAAAATGGTATATTGTGCTTTAAACAGATACATACATGCAAGTTTTATTCCTCAAGAAATCTAGCACATGTAGTTTCTTGACTGTGGTTTATTTGAACAGAAAGGCTGCTTCTCTCTTACAGATTTCAGGTTGTCCATTTTAAATCCACTGAAACTTACCAAATTTTGAACAATTTCATTTGCTAGGATCTATAATTGACTTCATAAGCATCATCATTATATTCCTATCACATAGAAAGATATTTACAAGAAATTGCTGTTTTTTCCACCATAGCTGATTACTTCATTACTATTTGCAATATCCCTCGTATTTTCCTTTTATGAAGTCTATTCTTCACACACAGAACAGCACTGATAAGAAAAATGTTTTTTCCTTTATTTTGAAGGAGGAAGTTGATAAGAGCTCAAAATTCTTTTGGATGATGGTCAATGTTGACTTGTATGGAGTGAGAGATTATTTTAACTTATCATAGTAGCCAAACAGAAAAAAAATTATTTCGTATTGCCATTCCTCACTTACATACACCATTAGTACTAGTTATGCAGTGACTGCACGCAAGGAGAGGAGGGATACAAAACTGTAGTTTTAAAAACTAAAACTGTTCTAAACTTGAACTGACTGAATCCAAAGTTTACCCAAAGTCCAGCTTTTTTCTTCTTTGTGATCAGCAGGTTTAGTGGTCATTCCCCATTTCCTTTTAAAAGTGCAATGCTTATGTTGAAAATGAGATGCTTACAACAGATAATGAAAATTTGGTGTTCAGAAACCTTTTTTGCTCAGCTGCACACATGCCAAATTGCAAACAATATTAAATGGTGGTCGTTTTTTGGCTCACAAACTGTGCAACAAGCATCCTTCTCTCTAAGACCAATGAAACAATGTTACCATCTTTGGAGCAGCTTGAGGACCACACAGTAATGACATTAATTCATGTTTAGGGGTGAAGCTGTTCTAGACTTGATTTTAACAAATAGGGAGGAACTCGTTGAGAATTTGAAAGTAGAAGGCAGCTTGGGTGAAAGTGATCATGAAATCATAGAGTTTGCAATTCTAAGGAAGGGTAGAAGGGAGAACAGCAAAATAGAGACAATGGATTTCAGGAAGGCGGATTTTGGTAAGCTCAGAGAGCTGATAGGTAAGGTCCCATGGGAATCAAGACTGAGGGGAAAAACAACTGAGGAGAGCTGGCAGTTTTTCAAAGGGACACTATTAAGGGCCCAAAAGCAAGCTATTCCGCTGGTTAGGAAAGATAGAAAATGTGGCAAAAGACCACCTTGGCTTAACCACGAGATCTTGCATGATCTAAAAAATAAAAAAGAGTCATATAAAAAATGGAAACTAGGACAGATTACAAAGGATGAATATAGGCAAACAACACAGGAATGCAGGGGCAAGATTAGAAAGGCAAAGGCACAAAATGAGCTCAAACTAGCTAAGGGAATAAAGGGGAACAAGAAGACTTTTTATCAATACATTAGAAGCAAGAGGAAGACCAAAGACAGGGTAGGCCCACTGCTTAGTGAAGAGGGAGAAACAGTAACAGGAAACTTGGAAATGGCAGAGATGCTTAATGACTTCTTTGTTTCGGTCTTCACCGAGAAGTCTGAAGGAATGCCTATCCTAGTGAATGCTAATGAGAAGGGGGTAGGTTTAGCAGATAAAATAAAAAAAGAACAAGTTAAAAATCACTTAGAAAAGTTAGATGCCTGCAAGTCACCAGGGCCTGATGAAATGCATCCTAGAATACTCAAGGAGCTAATAGAGGAGGTATCTGAGCCTCTAGCTATTATCTTTGGAAAATCATGGGAGACGGGAGAGATTCCAGAAGACTGGAAAAGGGCAAATATAGTGCCCATCTATAAAAAGGGAAATAAAAACAACCCAGGAAACTACAGACCAGTTAGTTTAACTTCTGTGCCAGGGAAGATAATGGAGCAAGTAATTAAGGAAATCATCTGCAAACACTTGGAAGGTGGTAAGGTGATAGGGAACAGCCAGCATGGATTTGTAAAGAACAAATCATGTCAAACCAATCTGATAGCTTTCTTCGATAGGATAACGAGTCTTGTGGATAAGGGAGAAGCTGTGGATGTGGTATACCTAGACTTTAGTAAGGCATTTGATACAGTCTCACATGATATTCTTATCGACAAACTAGGCAAATACAATTTAGATGGGGCTACTATAAGGTGGGTGCATAACTGGCTGGATAACCGTACTCAGAGAGTTGTTATTAATGGTTCCCAATCCTGCTGGAAAGGCATAACGAGTGGGGTTCCGCAGGGGTCTGTTTTGGGACCGGCTCTGTTCAATATCTTCATTAATGACTTAGATATTGGTATAGAAAGTACGATTATTAAGTTTGCGGATGATACCAAACTGGGAGGGATTGCAACTGCTTTGGAGGACAGGGTCATAATTCAAAATGATCTGGACAAATTGGAGAAATGGTCTGAGTTAAACAGGATGAAGTTTAACAAAGACAAATGCAAAGTGCTCCACTTAGGAAGAAAAAAATCAGTTTCACACATACAGAATGGGAAGAGACTGTCTAGGAAGGAGTACGGCAGAAAGGGATCTAGGGGTTATAGTGGACCACAAGCTAAATATGAGTCAACAGTGTGATGCTGTTGCAAAAAAAGCAAACGTGATTCTGGGATGTATTAACAGGTGTGTTGTGAGCAAGACACGAGAAGTCATTCTTCCGCTCTACTCTGCTCTGGTTAGGCCTCAGCTGGAGTATTGTGTCCAGTTCTGGGCACCGCATTTCAAGAAAGATGTGGAGAAATTGGAAAGGGTCCAGAGAAGAGCAACAAGAATGATTAAAGGTCTTGAGAACATGACCTATGAAGCAAGGCTGAAAGAATTGGGTTTGTTTAGTTTGGAAAAGAGAAGACTGAGAGGGGACATGATAGCAGTTTTCAGGTATCTAAAAGGGTGTCATAAGGAGGAGGGAGAAAACTTGTTCACCTTAGCCTCTGAGGATAGAACAAGAAGCAATGGGCTTAAACTGCAGCAAGGGAGGTCTAGGTTGGACATTAGGAAAAAGTTCCTAACTGTCAGGGTGGTTAAACACTGGAATAAATTGCCTAGGGAGGTTGTGGAATCTCCATCTCTGGAGATATTTAAGAGTAGGTTAGATAAATGTCTATCAGGGATGGTCTAGACAGTGTTTGGTCCTGCCATGCGGGCAGGGGACTGGACTCGATGACCTCTCGAGGTCCCTTCCAGTCCTAGAATCTATGAATCTATGAATCTATGAATCTATGCCTTGCAGCAAGATTACTACTGTTCTTTACTAATGAACTACTTAATTCCACAGTTCTTTTGGCTGAAATAAATTGCAGCTGCATTTATAACAATTCCATGAATGCTCACCAGTCAAACTGGAATCAGAAAGGTTGATTCTAGGGTCATCCAAAATTTGCATTTTGAAGTCATTTCTGCTATTGTCATCTCCTGTAGGAAACCTTGTATGTGTTTACTAATTGTAAATTAACCAGGCCAAAACACTGCCTCCGGAAACAATGGAAACTCATCCTGGAGACTTGGATGTGCTATTGGAATACAGCTGCATCTAGTTCTGCAGAGGGAGAGGGTTGCAAGAAAATAAAAGTTGGGCTTGTGCTCTTTTTTTGCTCCTTATAATGTATAAAGATGACCTGAAAGGGTTTCTTTAAATAACTAAAAATTGTGTTTGCTTTTCAAAATATTTTTAATGCTAGAAATTCAGACCCTGAAAGACACACTAACAGAAGAACTAGTGAAATTATGACATCACATGAGTTAAACAAATGAAAATTGAGCAACTGAAAAAGGAGGGGATGTTTACTCAAGTTATTTAAAACTGTTTGTTTGGTTTAGTTTTATGTTAACACCTGCTAACTTTTAATGATTAATTTTGGACAAAAGATGTCTTTTTAACACCACTGCTTCTTCAATAAAGGAGTGAGGTCACAATACACATGCAATGAGACCCATCAGAGGTTCTCCCACAAAGGTAGTGAAGATCAGATTTGTTATTCCCAATATTTCTAAAATAAAAACAAAGAGAAGGAAAAAGCCTAAGAAGAAATCCTTTGCAGCCCTCTTTATATATCATAAGACAATAAAAAATAGTAGAAGCTCATTTAAAAAAAAACAACCCCTTTACAGATCACCCTTATAAACATATGTGGACACAATGGACTAAATTCATCCTTGATCTAATTGCATTGTTGTTACCTACCCTCCCTTGATTTGCTACTTTTTTTTGTATTGCATGAGCTTAATTGAGGGCAGAATATGTCCCCCAGTCCAAAACATGGATTATGGAATTACCAAATTTACAGTAGGAAAGTTAAGAGTGAGTTTTATCTAAAAAGTTCTTTTGGTCTAAACACATACCGCATCGTTCTGAAAATATGCAATATAAAGATTTGGAAAATTTCAATCACATTTGAAATGTAAAAATTATAGTCTATAATTTGGACATTGTGTGATATACTGTAGGATTAAAATGCACCTCTCTGATGAACATTTAAAAAATAATAAAACAACAACAAACCTTAGTGTTCCATGTGTTCTGTCTACCGCATACAAAAGTCTAAAGCAACTCCATTTAAAATCAAGTGTTTGTTTTTTCATTTTGTTTACAAAGATTACATGATCTGATATCTTTTTATAGGAAACTCTCAAACCAAACCCTCCTCAAAAGCCTTTGCCAGCAAATCCTCTGAACAAAACTGCTCGGTTTAACAATGCCTCCAGCCCAATATTTGGACATCAGAAACTTGTGCCTCACATTACTCCTGTAAGGTTAGTTTTGCTAATCAAAATGTTTTTTATGACCTATAGCAAATACTTTACTGGACGTTGTAGACTCTCCCTTACTTAGAGCTGACTTACCATATTTTTGGAAAAACCACCTTCCTCTCCATTTAAATGGTCTGTCATCAAATAAGGTTCCCTGCAACTCCCTTACCTATATATTAGCATTGTGCTTGTATCTTACTCTGGTAGTAAACAAGTATATCACAGAGGAGATAAAAAATGAAGACATCTATTATACAGCAATGAGTTATATTCTAACTGCACATAAAATACCATTGTAGAGTACCTTTATTTATTACCAAGATACATAGCAATCATTTTCTCTGTGTTTACCAAATATGTGAAAGATAGGGCCAGATTCTCAGCTACTGTAAATAAATGTTGCTCTATTTTTTTCCAATGGAGGTATGTCATTTTATACCAGCTGAGGATCTGTCTTTAAACACCTAATTCACTTTATTTTTCAAACTCTTATGTAATAATAATTTCATATTGTACATTACTCGGACTTTAAGGTCAGAAGGGACCATCGTGATCATCTAGGCTGACCGCCTGCAAGGAATGATGAAGAAAGACTGTGGCAAGGAGCGCAAGAAAGAGATAGAGAGCATTACCCTACAGCCCTCATGAAGGCAAAACTCATGCAAGAGCTATATGATCTTATATAATGTATGAAAGACCGCATGCAATAACTTTGCACATTGAGATGATATTCTGCTGTATCAACAATGCTTTATTGGCAGGCACCTCCTATAAGGAAGCTTGCCATTATTTTATAGTTTCAGCATTACCAGAAAGTAATGTAGTTGGCAGTGGTTCCGAAATTTAGTGTCACAAAGGATGCAAGGATTTCATTACATTACTTGGGAAGAATTCTTGGTGAATAAAACAGAATAAAACTAAAAACATACAAGATAAATAAGTTCAAACAGGCATAGCAAAGATTTACAGTAAAATCATCCATACTGTAGATACAGAAAATTGTTTAGAAGCTTCAGTACTTTGCTTTGTGATTTCTGTGTCAACATGCGATTTAATCTGTGCCCATTAAAGAAAAACAAATACAGTTTTTCTTTCAAAATCAGGTCATTGCAGTGACTTTTCATGAGGAAAACTGTGTGGCAAGATAAGTGTTTGTTTTTACAAACTCCTGCCCCCCCCCCCACCAAAAAAGTGAACAAACAAGCAGATAGTGACATTGCAGCACAAACTGAGACACTGAAGTGTGATTCTGAAAATCTTCAGTAGCACAAAAGAGATGTCTCTTACAGCAGCTGCTTCGAAAGAATCCAGTAGCTAGCCTTTTCAGACAGCACAGTACTGCTGCAGACAACTAGAACTGGGGATGATAGCAATTTAACAGAGACTCATATTTGATAGGAAGTTTTTGGGTTTTTTTGACTAGTGTAGCCCTGTATGTAGGAAATGTACACTGAGAATCTTCATTATATTCCTCCCTTAGCCATCTCAGCCCCATACCTCCTCCACACACAAACATTTAATCCTTTTAGGTGGTATTTTAAAGGGTACCTCCTAGACCTTATCTTCACTAGGAAGTTTTATCACCCTTTATCTAGAAAGTCTCATCCGTGTTAATACCGCTTCATCTCCACCAATGGTAGCACCAGTGGGGGATCTAGTGTAAATAAGGCTCCATTAACTTCCAAATTTCCATTTTATTATTGTATCATGTAACCCTAGAGTTTAAATCTTCTACGCATTAAAAAAAATGATTCTCAAAGAAAAAAAAATAATGGAGTTGGAAGCAATATCAGTTCTACCCTGAGGCACCTGGTGTGATGTTCTGCTCAGAAAATTGAAAAATAAAACCAAAATAACATTTTACTTTCCTAATAATTCTGTACGTTATGCATAGCTCTTAACTTACCAGTATTACTCTTCCATGTGGAAGATCCATGGGAGGGAGAGAGGAGTTCCTCCAAGACCCTGTATTGTGTATTATGCATTCCAGTAAGATGCTCTTAAGAAGCAGTAACAATACTTCAAGGTGGCCACCCACACATCTTTGAACTGGTAGCTACAGTACAGGACTAAGAGGCATTTTTTAAAGTGTCCTAAATTAAGTGACCCCATAGGGAGCTAAGGAAGGTTATAACACACACCTAGAACTTAAGCCTAGTTCTGCCATTGGTCAGAGGGCAATATTTTAACAGCTGAAGGGACTTGTCTGAGGGTCACACAAGCAATCTGCTTCTAGAGCAGATCTGATGGTGGCTTCAAAAGAAGTTGGATGTCCTACCTTTTTCCAACATAAAAGCTCTGTGTTGCTTCTTCACAAAGTGAAGATAAAATTGGTAAATCCCTTTATTGCTGAATGAATTAAGCTATACATCCTAATGCCAAAATTAAAAATAGAAGTTTAACAATTTCTGACATTTTCATTTATATATTTCTCATCTTTTTTTAAACAGACCTGCACCTAAACATCCACAAGTGCCCAGATCCAGCAACACTGCCTATGTGAAATGACAAGAAAATCTGAGACCTTTCTGAAAAAAGTGAAGACAGAAGTTTGCACTATCTTTAAACTCCAACTAGAGTGGGTTTAAAAAAATACCAATACTTAGAATTTTTAATGTTTAAAACACCATTGTTTTTAAGAACTCTGAGCTACTGCTTTTGGTGCTGTGCTGTGCTATGGTGCTCATGTACTTGCTCAGGTACTTGTAAATTATTAATTTATGATGAATATTTATTACAGTGCAGTGCACTGTAGTAGATATTTTTTTACCATAGCTGAGTTTTCCTAGGAAGGAAGCCTTTTTTATAATATTTCAGTGAACTTGAAACATTCTGCTTTGTGTCTTATGTAGAGTGTTTAGTTTTGATCTATTCTTTATAGAGTACTAATACTCATGGATAAATCAATGGATAAACAACTCTAGTGATCTCAATGGTTTATAACAAACCTGTGAATGATTACATCAGGGTGAGCCATGTTTTCTGGAATACAGTGAAATGCCCAATATCTGCACACGAATGTATACCGTATCTGTTTAACCAAAATAACTGTTACTAGTTGTACTGTAATTTCAAGATGCCTGGTATCACTGTTTGAAATTATCAGGAAATCTGTGCTTAAATAGAGCATATTGGTTTTGGACAAATACTGGATATCATAAAATTGTATTTTTAGCTCATGGTTTTATCAAACACAACACAATCGTTCCATATCAATGCAGATTCAGGCCTTCCAATGTAATTACATTTTTTGATGCTTTGGTAATTAGATAAATTCAATATCCTATAAGATAGTGACATCTTACTATGCAATATAGCTATACAGTCAAATACATTGAAAACACTAAGATGCTATATTTACAAAGAATTGTTTTAAAAATAGATCATATGCATTTCTGCTGCCTCACTTCTGCTTATCAACTGTATTTTACATATTTACTGCTGTTTTGTATCTAACTTCTATCACTCCTGTAACAAAGTGTTAAAAAGATGTACTTTAGTATAAAGACATGAGGTATCTGAAAACAGACAGGATCTTCATATCTCTTGAGCACCATTCAGTGTAAAAAGAAAAGCTACTTTTGCCCTTCATCTGTACATTGAATCCTCATCAAAAAGCAGAGATTGGAAACCAATACCTTTCTGATTTCTGTTTTGTATTTCTTAATTCACACAGCTGAAATTGTTAGAAGAATATTTTTAAGTCCTACTTTAGTTCCCTCAAATCACCATGTGGTGGATCATCTCTTTTACAGTGATAAACAATCAAGCTACTACTGACCATTGCTCCACATGTGGGTTAAATTATATTAGGAAAATGGTCGTATTGCAGCAAAGGCTCACAGTGACAGCTCCTCCCTAGCTTTTCCCACTACGCTAACCTAGCCCAACTAGTGCTGTAAACACTTTCACTGTGAGTGTAGATGCAACAAATTCATTTTCAACACTGCTACTGGAAACATGAGTGTGTGTGCATTGTGTGAGGTCTCTTCCACACTCTTTCTGTAACACTGCTAAAAATAGTTTGTTTCACCTACGCTATCAACAAACTCTTCTTTTCAATACAAGTTGAAAGGGACTAAGTGGGAGCCATTACTAACATTATTGTCAGCAATGGGTTAGTTTCATGTTTGTTTCTTCAAGCAGAAAGAAACGTACAGAGGCCTTTGGATCTCATTTCAGTGAGTGTAACTCAACTTAACTTTCTCAGTCTCCACTGTATCAAGGCAACAATATAGCAGCCAGGTTTATGGATGAACTAAACAGCTAAATTCACATTACCAACAAAACAAATAAATCAAAATAGAATCCTCCTCAAAGACATTTCAGTTCCTAAAACATGCATATTTAATAAAATTACCAGTGATTTAATTTATAAGACATTCTGGAAAATGCTAACAAAATATTTATGATAAACATGGAGAATTTCTGAGGGTGGTGGCACTCTACTTTTTTTTATATTGGATTTGGCAAACACCAAAACCAGGTGCTGTTGTGGCTGTTTAAGCAACCTTTTTATGAATTTTGGATAGGTATTTTTGTTTTGTTTTTAAAAGCCTTAACTCCTTACTGCTAGCAGTGGCATCTTGTTCTGTTGCCAGAATTAGGAAAATACATCACTTTTAAAACATACTAGGGTTCATATGGACACTTCATTCCTTTATAGTCCTTTTTTAGGCTCCCATTGACTACACTGTATCAAAATATTTCTGTATTTCTGATAACGTTTAAAGTGTGGCCACATTGAAGTGAATGGCAACACACCCAATGACTTTAGTGGGGCTAGAATTTTACCTAAAGGTTAGCTCCTCAGCTGATGTACATCAGAGCAGTGTTGTTGACTTCAATGGAGCTGTAATATTTTACAGCAGCTTGGGACCTGACTCCTCAGATTATACTTGAGTAGGTTTTCAGAATGATATGCAGGGACTTAGTCCTAAAACTTCTATTAATATTAAAAGGACACAAAATCTTCTGTATTTTTTTCTTTGTGATAATACCCTTCTGAGGTAGGAAAGTAGTCAGTATTTTTGCAGAGCTTTGCACATGTAAAGTATTCTATCAAAGTGTTATAGTTTTAGAAAATCCCAACAACATTATTTGAAAGTAAATATTTTTTCTTCATTAGCCTTTGGCAAACATTAAACTTTTCCCATGTTTCTAATACAACAGAAGACAATATGGCTTTCTTTTTTGTCTATTTCCTTATTTATGTATTAGCTTCCCTGCATAAATGTGTGCAGTGATGGAAATACTGTTTAATTTCTGCTTCAGAGCCTGCAAAGGAAGCATGGAGAGTACGAAAAATTATGGCAGTAAGCCCGATAAAGGGGTTTTTGAGGGGATTGGGGTTTTTTGTTTGTTTTTGCAACTCTTTCTTGATTTCTCAGTGAAAAGGTTATACTCCAGCAGATTGTGAACAGGTCAAATTATGGGCCTATATAATAGTGGTCTCAAGAGCTGAGAGGCTAATTTTCCAGTGCCTGCAACTGAAATTTACAACTTAATTCTTTCTGAAAATAAGATATTTCAAGACTAACAAGCACCAGGAGAGAAATTCTTCCCTGGTGTAACTCCATGCAGATGCACCAGGGAGGATTTTTGGCCACTATATAAAAAACGATTACATGTCAAAATATGTAAAGAGTGTACACTGCCTTACAATCTAAATTTCTTCAAAGTTCACCATCACATGAACCACACAATCAACAAAATATAAGAAAATAATGGCCACTTGCAGAGGGAACACTTTTATGCCTTTGTAACTTTATTGGGCATTGTGAAACTAAAATTAAAGGCCATTGTCCCTTGTAATTGGCAAAATTATGTGACAAAGTGGCACACAATGTAAAAATCAGACTGCTGCAAGGAAGCTAATGATTTGAACTGGTAATCTGTAGTGGTGCTAAGGCTTATTAGGGTGATACATGTATGATTCTTTAAGACTACTTTTGTGAAAGATGTATTAGCAAGAACAATTTAACATGATATAGAGGAACAGAAGTTGCATGACTGGTCTGAAAGTTTTTAAACCAGATCAACTTCCCCTCACCATCATCAATGTGTTTAAACACAAAGGTGCACTTCTTAAATAACCTGGATAAAAAAAGGTTCCATTTGCATATGGTTTATGAAGAATTAATAGATGTTACTACTCATGTTTTGAATATGCTTGTGTAACACCAACAGACCCCGGTCGTCAGGCTGGATCAAACCTGGGTCCTCTGGGGCTTAGTTCATGATCCTCTACTGTATGAGCTAAAAGCCATATGGCTGTTAGCTAAGGCTGTAGAGCAGACTCATTAATCTCTCTCTACGTGGTCTCAGTGTCACCAGACGGGACAGAACACCAAACCCAGAAGGTGTATGGGTTACACTTGCATATTACAGGTGGTTATAAGCACATCAATAGATGGCTGTAAGCCACAAGTAACCTATTAACCTGTTGGATTCTATAACAATTAACCATGTATCAAAGCATCTGTTAATCACCCATTAACTTTTTTAAAACTATTTATAAATGGAACCTTAAAAGTGTAACCAGCATCTCTAAGCAATACCCCTTTAACAAGCTGGAATTCCAAGCATGAATATTGCAATGCCAAATTTACAAATGCTTCATGAATCCAGTGAGGTTGTGTGTATAGCTCTTATTACAGGATCAGATCCTGAGTTAACACCCATGCTGACAAAACAGATTTACAAGGATCAGAGATGGGTTAAAACTAATCTGAACCATAATAGTTAAGTCATGATACTTTAAGATTAACTTTCACATGATCTTGCTATCCCAGGATTCATCTTAAGTCTGCATGAGAAATCTCTGAAAAATACCTTTAACCAACTTGTAAACTAAAAATTTACAACTATTTAAAACAGCTGACTAAACGGGGATATATATCAAAGGTTATTAAACATTTAAACTTCTTAAAGCAAAACAGCTCAAGCACATGTAATGATTTTGAGATTAATTTTACAGTTAAAGGCTATGATACAAGTATGTATGACCTACTTGAGACTTGCTGACTCATGTCCTGGTTGGGAAATGCCAGAGAGATCTGGTCCCTTTGAAAGCATTCCCTCATTCTAGAGAGGTAAAAACTTAATGCTTTGTTGCTGCTGTTACTGGTAAACAATACTCTCATAGAACCTGGGGAAGAGCACGTACCTGGGCTCTCCAAAGAGCAATGCATAAAGGTGCATTATGTTAGTGCATGGGACTGGAAGTACAAATGACCATCAACAAACCAGTGAAAATTACTAAATATGCGAAGTACAAAAACTGTATAAAACGGAGACAGATATGGGGTTTTCCCATCTAATGTCTTTCAATTTTAGTAATCATAGGTGTTGCTTTTATATAGATACAAGTTTTCATATACAAGTGTAATTTTTCCACCTGCGTGTCTTCTTTTAAATGCCTAGTTAGTTCAAAGCTGCTGTACATGGCTTTTTTCCTGGCAGGTACTTTTTTTAGCATCAGTTCTGTTTAGTTCTGATTATTTGAAAATCCAAAGTTATTGCACTATTTGCTAATGCCCAATAAATGTTACTAGTTATAGTTTGTTTTTAATGCATTTAGACATTTACAATAAAGTTGAAGGAAGATTTATTCGTTAATTATCTTTTAGTACACTAGGAAATTTACTTTTATAAACTCATTAGTGCCAGAACTCATTCTACATACAGATTATCCCTTCTGAACAACAACTAAATAAATCTATCCACAAGAGATTATGCCCCTATGGATCATCATCACATGTTGCAAAATATAGCTAAATATGAATTTAGCTAACAGAAAAAGAAATAAAATACTAATCTACTACACATTTAAGAGAACGTGGGGTCTAATGGTTTAAATATGGGTGTAGGAATTGGGAGATCCTGAATTTTCATCCTTTTCTTGATACAGAGTTCTCTTTTTGATCTTGCACAGTTACTTAACCTCTCAGCATCAGTTTTCCCCATCCATGAAATGGATATAGTAACACTTAATTACCCAATTCATAGGGTGGTTTTGAAGCTTAATTAGTTAGTAGTTACAAAGCACTTTAAAAACCATTAAAGTGCTACACGTTATCTAAGTCACCTCATAAACTTTCATCTCGCTGTCAAATTCCTGCTTTCGCATACTCTCTTCTGGATGGTGTTTGCTTCTCCAACATACCTGAATATTCCTTTCCAATATACATTCACATCTATTTCAAACCAACAGAAGACTTTTGTATGTATTAATTTATGTTTTTAAACAAAGCATTAAAAAGTGTGACCAGTGACTGTAAACAATCATTAACAGAGCAGTCACAGAAAAATATTTTTAAAAGCACTTTAAGGCAGGATATATAAAAATACAAGGCATGTTTTCACTAGGTTAGACTCTGGGAAAAAAGGTGCTATTGTTCTATAAAAAAAAATGTAGCAACTGATAAGTAATTTTAACTGTTTAAACTGCAGACCATTTAGCACAGTATGATCTGAGATTAAAGCTACATAAACCAGCACATTACTTTTTATGAACCATTCATTTATCATGCTTCAGTTAAACTTAAATGTGCTTAACTTTTTCACACACTTAACTATATAACAGTTTGTGTTACTTTTGTACACATTTCTTATAGAATTTGTTATTTTAAGATATTACAAGTGAACACAATGTAATGCTGCAATAGCAGGACACTCTATTCATTGTTAAGAATACTATATTCAATAAACTGTAAACACATTTGTTTTGTTTTGTCTTATGTAATTACCAAAATGATTTAGAAAAAAATGCAAACACCTCATCAAGAAAAAAATATAAGATACTACCTAAGAAATCAGTACGGTAACATCTTTCTTTGCTAGGTATGTCAATTATTTCATTTCGACACTCTAAATAACTGTAAAATTTCACCATGCAACAGAATTATTTTTCTTATACATTAGCATATCACAGGCACTTTTTTGTTATACATGTATGCAGACATTTTCTAAATATGTACTTAAAATTTTGAAAAAAAAATTATAGGAGTTTGAACTACCACCTTTATATATGGTAAACTAACGGAAAAAACTTGTTTACAAATAGTGTTTTCTTTAGCCATTGGGAGCCATAGAGCTACAAGCTCCCATTTTAGAGCTGCATTTGAAATATCTTACTGAGCATATGAAGGAAACATAGATGTCTAACACAAGCTTAATTTCTCATACAACATTCCTTGCTAAAGCGTTTGCAGAACAGAAATTACGTTAATATTGAAGGAGCAGTTTATCTGCTTTTCTATTAGGAGTAGGAGCAGCTTTAGGCAGGCTAGACAGCTACTTTTGGTGTCATATTTTTGGGTATCCTGAAATTTCCTTAAACAACTTGTGTTTCAGCATTATGTGAGTTTGTCATTAGTTTAAGAAGCTTCCAACTCCTTCCCAGCTGCAGATCTTGCTCTATTAGTAGACCTGTACATGTAATATATACATTACCGCTTTACTTGTTTTAAACATTATATAAGAAGGTACTGTGGAGAAAACAGTATGTAAATATAATTAAAGACTTTTCCTGATACATATGGATAAGAGGGCTGAATTAAGGTTGCACAAACAACTTTAATTCTGGTATTTCCTTTTCAGTGCTTCTGTTTGCAACTTTAGTAACATTCTTCTAACACTTTTGTGTGTGTAATTTCCTACATTTTTAAAAAAGTAAAAACAAGCAAAAAATTTAACCCCTTCTCCCCCTGAAATTCCATATTGTTCTTCAGCAGGGTTGAAACCTTTACACCCCTGCTATTTGAGTAAATTCATTATAAAGGGAAGGAAGATTGTCAAATAAAATGTAAAATGACAGACAGAAGAGTAAGAAATAGTCTAGTTTCCTTCCAGCACAAAGTGAGAGATAAAAACATCCTGTGTTAGATGATAGATGTGTAAACAGCCCATCCCTGGAAAAAATGTAGATGCAGAGGATAAGCATAAAAACAATCCATTATTTGTTAATTGCCATGCCTAACAGTATTACTGTTTTCATGGTTCCATTTCGATTTTAATCTTACAAAGGTAAATAGAGAGGAAAAGAAAGTTAGCATCTGCATCAAAATGGGAATCATATTAGTTGGCTGACAGTTTTTTGAAAGGCTGGATTAAGAGAACAGAATTTTCACTGCAGACATTATCTTTGCCCTGGAAAGAACTAGGAATGCTTTTCTGATTAAAAAGAAGATTTGGCTTCTAGAAGAAATAGCACAAATGGAGGAAAATCCTAGAACTGTTGCATTTTCCCCTGCCCGCCAACCCCAGGCATCTTCCAAAGCCCCCTCTGTTCTGCATAAAACCTGAACAGGAAAGAAGAGTCACAAACAAGTTCTTCCTTAATGAGGTAAATATTTCTGATAGTACAGTCTCTTTGTTAGCAATCTTCTTCTTACAGGAATTGCAAGATACTGAGGTTTATTTTTATTTTTTTTTCAAATTAATAGAATTTTAGCATACATTTATTTTTTGAATTTTAGTAAACTGCATCCATATTGGCAGTGCTGCTGGGCAACTGGACTGCTTAAAACAAAATACCAGTCTAACACTGGTTATCCCGCTCCACAAAATGAAAGTTACTTCTTGTGGATGCATACTTTTAATTTACCTTTACATAGAAACACAAAGTAAGTGCAGCTTATGCTTTAAGACATATGATAGCATTATCAACAGGACAGAAAGTACAATGATTGACACTTAAAAGTAAACATTTACACCTGAGAGAACTGATGTGCCCCATTGTAATATTTCATTGTAGTAAGGAAAGTATTGCAATGTATCATGATAAAGGAAAACATCTACATTTTAATGTCAATCCGTGTATATTTTAAAAGTGACAGCATGCAGAAGACTTTCAAAATATAGTTATGTGGATGTGTTTTATATAAAAAACATCAACTATAATTACCATATGAAATATGGTAATTGTCAGTAAATAACCTTGATGTGCACTCTCCCCTCTACAAACTTAAGAGTACTTTAATTACATTTTAAATGGTCTTCCCATTGTGAAAATTTAAAGCATTCAAATTGTATAAAACTCTGCTACTTGTTTTCTCACTGTTGATAGTAAATCAACATTTATCTCATAATTTGTACAGTTTACATTGGCTGCTACTAAAATTGTGTTGATTTTTAAGTTTTATTATTAATGTTTAAAGCTTATCACTATTTAACTCCAACTAGCCATTTCTGGGTTTACTAATACCTTGCACACTATATTGTGAATGCAAGAGTTACAAGCAATTTTTAAAATAATAAAACATTATTTGGTGACCAGGCAAGGTTAAATGTTGCATTAATGCTTTGGAATTCTTTAGGTTTGAACTCCAAAAAACTGTTAGACTGTACCTTTAGTGACGATTAGACTGTACCTTTAGTGACGATTAGACTGTACCTTTAGTGACGATTTCCTCTTACCTCCCCAGCATAGGCCTTGTCTTCTCTACTGAAAAGGGTAACTAATACACATGAGCTATCCCAAGGTAAAAAAAAAACAGCGAAGACCAGTCACTTTACTTTTACCACAAAGTGAACTCAGTGAGGTCAATCCCTTGAAGTGGGTATAAGGCTCTTTATCTTGTGATAAAACTTAAGTGCCTGGACTTCATTGCGTTTCTACCGCAGGATAGATTGTTAGTTGCCCCCTGATGCTGCAAGACCGTGTATGAGGAGGTCCCTGATTATTTACATCAGATAATAGTTACAGTTAACGTCACAACTCAGCTTCCACCCTGAAATCCACCTTTCAACTTTATTTATTACATACACCTTCCTAACCTAACACATTATCCTGGAAGGATATTACAGTCCTTAAGACTTAAACTTAGTCCTTCACTCCTACGGCTGAGTCTGGGCATGCTGCACAAGCAAGATGCTCATTTCCTGGGTAGAAAGAAGGGACTTCCTGGCTATTTTAAGAGTGACACTGACAGGCATCAGTGGGAGTTACTGAACATTCTCTAGCCAGAGGGAAAGTTACTAGGACACAAAGGAAAAGAAGAAGAGGGAAGTAATAATAAAAAATATGTGAAAAAGAATCTTTGTCATGAGCTCTGAGAGGGGCTTAGAATAGGAAGGGGAATGATATACAAACTACATTTATGAAAACATTATTTTGATTTACATCTAACTCTAAATGCAAGAGAATATAAAGTAGTGTTAGGGAACAATGACAGTACAACACACATATATATTTAGATACAAGACAACATCCTCAAGAAGCTGAGCTACACATTTTAATGAGCATCCAAGAATCTGTAACAACTGAACAGTATAAAGTAAAACAAGCAAATTCTAATGCTTAACTGAGGGCCAGTCTTCATGTTTTCACCTTACTGGTAGAAAAAGCACTCCTTTTCTTTTATTTAGTTACCTCACGTGCCTGTGAGCCAAGAACTGGTGGAGGAAATTTGGTGTTCTCATTTAATTTTCTCTTATTTTCTTCTAACAAGGTGACCACGCTCTAAACAAAAAAAGCAGAAAAATTAAGGGAAAGGGAAGGGTTTTAAAAAACAAAACCAGTAGAAACCAGGAAATCAATATGTAAAATAATTATTCATACGTGTCTGTGAAAACCTCTAGCCATTTCTAGAAGACCTTTGCCATACTGAAAGACAAAACAATGGCATATTCAAAATCTTTTTTAGATTTAAAAAAAAAATTATAATATGATGATTGTTTTTAGCTACCTCATTTTTAACAGTAGCATCTGCTCCTTTATCCAGCAGCAACTGAATCAACTCTTCATGGTTATTTAATACTGCCACCTGCAATATAATTAGAATACTATAATACATAGTCTTATATTACAATACTGTTATCTGCCACAAGTTAGTGTATGTATGTTACATTACACAGGCCTCAGTCTTGTACTGGGATCTGCTAATGTGGACTCCAGTGCCCATGCAGAGTTCCACTGGCTTCAGTGAGATTCCAAATGAGTGCAGAGATCAGCACTAGCTGAATCTGAGGCAGGATCTGGGTTTTAAGAGAGCAGAGAGGGCTCTGCGATAATATGTAGACTTGCAAAAATCAAAATATCACACGCATGTATTTATAAATGTTATGGATTTAAAATGTACAGGCTATGTTCCTCTGTGATGACAAATGATAACATGATATAGAAAGCATTTTATCATCTTTGTAGAATACATAACTATAGTACTTCAGAAAGATAAATTCTGAAAGGGTGAGAGAATCAGAGAACTCATCCTAATAAAAATACATTTGAGCCTATGACGTCTACTCAAACTAAGTACTGTTATTTTACAAACCAAACCAAGAGTTTTTTTAATGTATAATGTATTAGTAGAGGAATAGTAGTAGTTTTTTCCCTTGAATAAAATCCCTCTAGGAGTGAATGAATAACCACTGCTATCCTACTGCACATCTGAGTTAACAAGAATTTTCTAACTGTAGTCAAATTCCTGACCTTAATTGCAAGTACACAACTAAACTGATTATTGAAAAAGGCATACCATTAAAGGTGTTTTGCCATCTTTATCTTTCATATTCACATCTGCTCCTGCTTCAATTAAAAGAGATGCCACATCCTTATTCCCTGTTACTGCAGAAACTCTCATCAATGGTGTCCATTCTAAGCATGTATCTTTAGTATCTACCTATTGCAGAAAGAAAGACATTTCTCATACTTGAAAAATAAAATCCATATTTAAATAAACAAGAATTTTTCACATTGCTGAGCAATTGCTGAACAAATTCACAACCACTCTGAGTGCAATCAAATTGTGCCATAAACCTAAAGGGACTAACTCACATATTTAAAATAAATTATATGCTGAAGAGCTTTGCTGGATCAGGGCTACAGTACTCAGTACCTTCCTTGCTGGATGAAGCCCATAGGAGTTACAATTCTGGCCGGCCTCCCAGAGGATATTAGTAGTAGTACTTAGGGTACATATTTTAATTGGAGCCCCAGAAAGTTTCTCCTGCAGGCTCCAGTGAGTACATGCTCCTTTTAAGAGGAGGCAATATATTCCTTGCTCTGCACCCAACTTGCATGGTAACTGCTTTAACAAAGTAGACATTAGAAGTGACTCCTGTATGTTTTCAGGCCTTTGACGTTTGTGCATGGAGAATAGATTTCTTCCTCATCCAAAAGAATCATAACATCTTTATGTATTTATTATTTATTGCAATTTAAAATAACAAAAATGCAAAGCATTAGGCACCCTAAACATATAATTAATATTACAACAAAACCTCAGCAGTATGCCAATCATTTAAATAAGAAATCTCCTTTCTACCCCTTGATTCTGGAACCTTTGTACTACAGCTCCAGTAGTAAACCTGAATATGGCTGGATATCTGATAAATTAAGTATTCAAAGTCCATATTCTTTTATGGTAAAATAAAAAAAAATGTATACCAAAGAAGAACATGGTAAGAACCTAGATAAAATTATTTTAAATCTGAAAAATAGAAACATGCCATTTCTATGTCAATATTCATATTTTTCAGACTGCAATATGCAAGTTTAGGTCCTGAAAATATACAACTCATTTTCCTTTAGGTGGAGTCATTGTGGAATGCAACAGGATCAAACTTCACTCCAAGATTTGCAGATTTTTCAGTTATCAGTAACCTCTACTACCCTACTCACTGGGCTAAGAATGCTATGTGACAATAAAGTTATAATGTGAGGTTTCATGACCTATCTAGCACATAATCCCCTTCTCTCTCACTTTGCACTCCTGCAGGAGCCTCTATCAACATGACTTTTCTTAATCTGAACTTGTTTTACAGGTCATTTCTTGGTCCTTTACAGTTCTAGTATGCTCAATTAGAATAACATTATACCCATCAATCTTTATCTCCATATCTTTAACTTTTCATTTAGCCTCCCTGCAGTCTTCAACCAGAGCTTGATTAAATTATATCCACCAATTTGCTAATACTTGCTGAGCTGTTACTAAGAATATCCCATTTTGTTTACTAATGCAAGTTTGTGTCTCCAGATGGTGCGAAATCAAAAGTAGGCAAGACTGCCTGTCTCCAATTTCATGGAGGCTTGGGAGCAAAACAAAATGCCAGATTTTTATTAAAACTATAAAACCTTCAATTTTAGGCTCTTCAGGGTCTGTCTATTTCCCTATTAGCTATCTACAAAACAATTACCAAAGTATAGTAATTTATTTATAAAAACAACAGAATTAAAAGGCAGCACTTCCCCCAGCCTCCTGTAGCAGATTCTCTATGTTCTTATCAGAACTCTGACCTCACCTTCCCCCATTTTTTCTTCAGTTTCACAATTCCTAGATGTTCAGGACCTATGTCATGGTCACAGTCACTATCCATTGAGCAATATGATGCACTCCTTTATCCCAAGGGGCTCAGATATATACTTAGCGAGCACTAACATTCCCAAAGTATCACCAGGCTATCAGGCAACCTCTTTATGTCCCATAAAATGCTGTTTTCTCTTAAGAACACACAGATAAAATCCATACCTGACAGCCATCATTAATCATCCATTCAATAACCTCACAATGTCCTCCATCCACAGCCCAGTGCAAAGCTGTACAACCTCCCAGATCTCTGACTTCCCAAGAAGCTCCTTGTTCTCTGAGGTATTTAATAATATCCAGGTGACCAGCAAAACAAGCTAACATTAGGCTGTAACATAAAGAGAATTATTTTGCTGGAAGAACAGGACATCATTATTCTTCTTACATTGTTGACTTACTTTAATTTGGGCAGCCTTTTCTTGTCAACTAGTAATTTTGAGCTGACAACCACCAACTTTACTGATATTTAATGTACAGCTAAGCTGTAGCTGTCCTTGGGAGAGGGTGAAAGAAAGGCACAAGAAGACCCTTCACTTCCCCTGCTGCACCCCACTCTGCCTCCAGTGCTCCAAAACAGAAGAGAACCATAATGGTACAGCCAGCATAACCCAACTACAGAGGAGAGAGCTACTAGTAATGAACACCATAATGCCACCTTCCTGCATGCTGGCAAGCACGTGGAGGCCCCAGAATAGAAATGGCCATTAATGAGTTCATCTTCAGACAGCGACACTGGAACCATTATGCTTTCTCCAGCCCTACACTGGCATAAGAGGCAGTATGTTTCTCAGCCTTCTCAGGTTGGCAACCCCTTATTCAAAGTCAAAAATATTTGAAACTCCTTTGCATTTACTATAAATGTTACAGTAAAAAATGCACCAGTAATAATCCTATTAATCTGTGTATCTTTGAGAAGCTAACCGAGAATACTAGACCTTAAGGGTAAGGATGTGCAGAGAGCAACGGAGAATATTTTTCTTTGCTTTAGATTGTAATATAATTTTCAATGCCTTGTGATCACCCTGACTGCCATTCATGATCCCCACTGTGAAATACTGATCTAGTGGATGGGAGCACTGGACTAGGGAATATGGCTTCTAGCCCCTGCTCTACCACTGCCTCAGTGAGTGACACTCAGCAAATCACTTCACCGTTCTGTTTCTCATTTCCCCTCTCACCCTTAGTCCGTCTTGTCTATTTAGATTGTAAGCTCTTCAGGGCAGAAACTGTCTTCCTATATTTTAACACCACCTAGTACAATGGGGCATAGGCGCCGACTCAGTGGGTGCTCCAGTGCTGGAGCAACCATGGGGAAAAAAAGGTAGGTGCTGAGCACTCACCGGCAACCCCCCTACCAGAACCTCCCCATCCCCACAGTGCCTCCCAACCGCCGGCGGGCCCCGCGGATCAGCGCCTCCCCCCTCCCTCCCTGTGTCTCACGCCCGCCACAAACAGCTGCTTCGCGGCATGTAGGAAGCTGGGAGGGATGGGGGAGGAGCGAGGATGCAGTGTGATCGGGGGAGTGGGCAAAACTGGGTGGGAAGAGGTGGGGTGGGGGTGGAGCAGGAGCAGGAATGTGTGAAGTGGGGGCGGGGCCTAGGGTGGAGACAGGGATCGAGCTTCCCCCCCACACTCCCCCTGGCACTTTGAAAAGTCAGCGCCTGTGCAATGGTGCCCCTGATGTTGGCTGGGACATGCAGGCACTACTGTAATATTAATAACAATAACACTGTCAGAGACACAAGGTGGGTGAGGTAATATCTTTTACTAATAAGATATTACCTCACTCACCTTGTCTCTCTAATATCCTGAGACTGACACAGCTACAACTACACTGCATACAATAACGCTATCACTCAGGTGATGCACTTCCTACTCTAACACAGTTCTGGCTCTTAAAGCCTTAACTGAATCCTTAAGATGAAACGAAAATATAAATACGTTTTTTATTCAGAGGATTAAAATTAAAACAAGATTAGCCTGTAATAATAATAATAATAACAATAACAATAATAATAATGCTAAGATGATGTTTTGACTGGCCACCTGCCTAGATAACATCTAAACAATTGTCTCATTAGTGATTCATTAATATCTCTTTCTCGCTAATCTCTTTTAAATAAAATAATTATATAGCTACAAAACTGTACATTCAGCTAATATACTCACACTTTGTGTTTCTATTACCCTTGTCTTCTCCCTCTGACAAAATTTGGTTCTACGCCCACCTGTCCTGTATTGTCCCTATTTAGACTGTAAACTATCAGGACAAGGACTGTCTTATTTTATTTTTGAACAGCACCTGTCACAAGGGAGCTATTCAAGTACACAAACAATGAAATCACACATTTAATTTTTGAGCCCTTAAATTCATTGTCAACCATAATAAAATTGCTCTATGTTAATCATACAAGAAACATGAATCAGTAACCAATCATCATAGTTTTCCCTTTATTTTTAAATTGGAAAGAATCTAATTTATATCTGTCTATCACAGTGTTATGTATATACACTTGCTAATCTTAGATGATATCCGACAGTCTTCAGTCTTTCTCAAAACCACGAACCCTGGCATCAAATGTGTGCATGGGTAGAAATAAAAACACACTTTACCAATGCACAGGAAACAAGACAAATACATTTCTTTGGCGAATGTGGAATAAAGTTAATTGAATATTGATGCTCTGTGTATAAGAAAGTATATATAAATTATTGAGCCTGCCAGTTCATTACCAGGCAGAACACACGTATGTGTGCATACTACAACCCCAGAAAGCCATAACTGGCCCATTGATCATCCAAGGGGGCAGGGAAACAGATTCGTGATCTGACAAATAGAGAAGCAGATGGACAAATATCCTGGGACACTTGAAAAGGTTCATCACTGGGAGCATTTGTCTTTTGGATCACGTATGGAACCAGGTAACTCTACCTGGTCTGATTTACTAAGTACCAAACAGAGTAGCCTAGTTATGAGTGGAGAGGACAAGCAGGATAACAGAACTGCCAGAAAGGGCTGCCTGAAGCTAAGAATGCAATGGGGAAATCAGAGTGGCTACACTAGAAACTCAAGTAGCTACAAATGGACTGAGCTACCTGAATGCTTCAGGGGTGACAGCTGTAAGGGATCCCAGCAGATTGGTAGCAGTCTCATCAGAGAAGGAAGTAGGGTGACAGCTGCAAGCGAGGGGACAGGCACAGTAAAGAATATACCAGAAGGAAATCACTGGGGAGTTCAAAGGAAGACGTTTGTGTAGAACACCGTGAGGCCAGACTAGAAGGAACCCAGACAGCATCAAGATAGTGGCACAGATAAAGACAAGGTCCAGGAGAAACAGAGAGACCTTGCAAGCTTAACTAGATTTTAGGAGGCACCGCCTTATGCAAATCAATTAATTGACTAATTTGCATATTTAAAATTCACTTATTACCATAAACTTGTTTTTAAAAATTGTGTGCGAAATTAGTGATGACGAAAGGCACTGTCATGATACTGTCATGATACTTCTGGTAAATGATACGTTCTGTTTATCTCCAGGGCAGCAGCAGCCTCCATAGCCCATGCACTTATCAGTCTCTCTCTTGAGTCTGCCCATTATTATAAAGCATTGCGGTGAGTTTGTGATGTGGGAGCAGACACACACCAAATTCATCTCACATAGGAGCCACCAAAGAATCACTAGATGGGATCAACTTTCAGCTGAATATGAATTTTGTATAGAGGCTCTAATACAGAACAGCATACGGTGCCTAACAACTACATATCTATCAGCCACTTCTCTTATCTTACTACAGTCTGTTCTAGTGTTTATTTGAAGAGGGGGTTGTTCCTTGAAGATATTTTTATTTGTCTCTTTTCTTTACAAATATGAGTGAATTTAGAGATTAGAGCCACGCAATGAGAGTAAATACTGTGTAAACTTCCTCTTCAGACCTCTGCTAATGCAGCTGACTCCTGATCTACTATTCTCTTTTCTAATGAAGTCCTGTATTCTTCCTGAACAAAGATTCCCAGTTTACTGAACTCCATAGTAATTTTATGATGTGGTCAAATGGAGACTAAGATTAAATCAATAAAACTCATTTTCATTTGTGACCAAAACTAGAATCTGAATATCAGTTTCCAGAAATGAAAAAAATATTGATGCGGTAATGCATAATAACAGTTCCCCAAAATCTCTGGTGAAACAATATATCCATGCAGTACCTGTCCTTTCCACTTCCATTTTTCTGATTTACATCTGTTCCATTCTGTACCAATATTTTCGCAAGCCTATATAACATAAAATATTTTCATCAAGAACAATGCCCAGTAAACTAACATTTCTCATTAAAATAGAAACTCTGAAAGAGTAAATAAAAACTTAGTTTTGCACACAGTCTATTACTGACAGTAAAAAAATATATATCCTAAAAAGGACTTTTTTGATTTTCAACAATAAATACATAGAAGAATAAAATAAACACTCTGGATTAACTTTATAAATTGTCAAAGTTGCCTTTATATTATGAAAAAACAAAACATCAATAATATTCTATTATACTTTTCCTAAACTGACCATCTATTATTGTGCTCCAATATAGTAGAAAAGTGTAAAAAATCTATCATGCACAACAAAGAGGTAAAAGAAAAACAGTAATACCTATCATATCCTTTCTGCGAAGCAACCATCAGAGCAGTAAAGCCTAGTTTATCAGGAACATCCACCTTCACATGTCTTACAGGAGGAGAAAAGAAAATGTTACAAACTAGTGTATCTCAAATATTTTCCAGAGACAACTATAAATCTTTCCACAACATATTTCTAAAGAGTGTCTTATAAATTCAAAGCATTGTAATCACCTATTAATTTTGCCAACAGTGTGAAAGTAAAAACCATTAATCATTTTATCAAAAATTCTGACTACTATTCTTGCTGACTTCTATTATTACAGTTTGTTTTTTAGTGTTTTTTCAATAGAAATTCATTGACAAATATTTTTCAAGTTTCATTTTTCCAAAAAAAAAATAAGCTACTTAAAAAATTATAGCTGCCTAGGTAAAATCATATTTTTAGGGAAAAAATAATTTCACCATGTCAGAGTTGAGGTTGGAAATATAATGGAAGTCAAATAATAAATAGAATATTCTAATAAACATTTGAAAAATCAGGAAAATTGGACAAAGTTTCACAACAACCTTATTCTAACCCTGTTGACTTAACTAGGATACTAGTCTATTATACAAATGAAAGCAACTAGAAATTGCATGTTACTGACTGCAACTGAATGGGATAGTAACTTGCTGAGTGATTAAGATATATACTTTTACATAAATAACTCAATGAGTCTGTGTGCATCTCTATGATTATGATATTCTGTGACATTTGTGGTCAATTATGATGAATAGACAAGAGAGATGTGCCTATCATAGGGGGAGGATGGATCAGGTTGATACAATGGGTGAAGTAGAATGCATTCCTTTACTCACACTGGGCTGCTAAACAGGGATGGTATCTCTGCACATGCAAAGAGCTGTGGAGCTAAATCCTGGAATGGGAGCCCATCACCCGGTCTTCACGCAGGATACAGATAAGATGTACCTCAATCTGTGCAACACATGAAGCCTTTCCCTTGCTCTGTCAGATATAGTAGGTTCAGGCCACCACATTCTGCCTTATCTCTCGGTTTTCCCAAAAAACCTTGCTCCTGCTGATGCATCCTATACTTTCTACCCTGCACACCTGCCAGAAGTGGTACAGCACTTTAAACAGCTAATTACTAAAACCACCTAAAACAAACCAAGTTTATCAGGCGCTAAGTAGAGAGTGATAAACACCTACGGTCCCCGCTATGCATGTGAGGAGTGCAGCGAGCAGAAAGAGTGCCCTGGCTCCACCACATCTCACCCCATGGGGGCCATTCCCTACTTACCAGGCGAAAGCCACAATCCATCCACCATCTAGTATGGGGAGGAGGTGACAGTCTTCATTCTAGATCAGAGGTGGGCAAACTATGGCCCACGGTCCCCCTCATGGGGTCATGTAGTAATTTTTGTTGTCAGAAGGGGGTCATGGTGCAATGAAGTTTGAGAACCCCTGCTCTACCTTTCTGTTTCATCAGAAGTCCCCTTTTTCTTGTGTTATGAGAAGGGGTGAATATAGGTGCCCATTTTCTTTATTTTGTACCCTTTTATGATATCCCCTCTGCCTTATTTGTCAACTCTGTAAAATAAACACTCCCAGTTTCTTCAATTTCATTTCACATGGAAGTGTTCCCATGCTTCTGATCATTCCCATTGCCCGTACACCTTTACCCCGATATAACGTGACCCGATATAACACGGGTTTGCATATAGCACGGTAACCCCGGGGCTCCGGCAGCGGGGCTTGGGTGGCGCTTTAAAGGGCCCAGGGCTCCGGCAGCTGCAGGGAGCCCTGGGCCCTTTAAATCACCGCTGGAGCTCTGCCGCTGCTACCCCCGGGGCTCCGGCAGCAGGGTTCAGGAGGCAATTTAAAGCGCCCGGGGTTCCGGTTGCTGCGGGGAGCCCCGGGCCCTATAAATCACTGCTGGAGCCCTGCTGCTGCTACCCCGGAGCTGCGGCAGCAGAGCTCGGCCGGCGATTTAAAGGGCCTGGGGCTCCGGCTGCTGCGGGGAGCCCCAGGCCCTTTAAATCACAGCTGGAGCCCTGACGCCACTACCCCGATATAACGGGGTTTCCATCTATAATGCGGTAGGGATTTTTGGCTCCCAAGGACCATGTTATAGCTGGGTAGAGGTGTATTTGGATCCCATCTATTTCTTATATACACTTTTTAAGGAAGAGTGATCAAAACCAAATGGCATATTCCATTTGTAAAATGATATAACACAGAAAGCAAATTTGTAATTTGTCACTTTATCATAAAATGTGCAGTCTAATTTTTAGGACATGGGAAAACTAACTCATTGAAACAAAACACAATAGCATCATGCAGTTTACATGATTTCATGTCCACTGTAACACTTTATAGATATTTTATAATCTGAATATTTTCTCACCCTCCCTGAAGAATTTTAAGAACTGCCTCTACATCATTCATACTGACAGCTCGATGAAGTTGCTCTCCGCTCATCGGCTCTCCTGTAGAAAACAAAATAGGAAAGTATTTGCAAAACAGTTCAGAAATTCATTCTAGTGGTGTTGCCAAGTATTGAAATGCTGCAAATAAATGATTAGCTTTCATATTTTTCAGTACCACTTTTGGATATTTTCTAGATTACTAAATTAAACAAAAGAATCTGTATCACTGTTACATAGCTGTTTTTATTTAAGAGGTGACTCTTGAAGTGTGGTTATACTCACTGGCATCATTCTCACAATACAGTATGCTCATTACTAATCTGTCTTTTTTCATTACCATTTTTAAAAATCAATTATTTTAGTGGAAGACTAATCCCTTTATATACTTCTGTATTGGAGGTGAACCTATATCTGGGAACTATCATGTTAGAGATTAAACTACTCTACTGCTCAGTCAACATAGTACAATCCCTTGAATGCTGTGGTGATTGGGAGAGATCTGGCTTCCAGTTCTCTCTTAATTCTTTCTTGAAGGGCAAAACTGCTGTGTCCGACCATGACTCCCTCCTGTCTAGGGTTTGGACCATGATCAGCCTACCTTTATTCAAAGATATCTTCCTACAGCCCATTTGTCAAAATAAAAATAAGAACCAAACACCACCCAGAACTAGAGTAACAGCTGTTCTAGATATCTTCTCTCATAACAAAAGCCAGTTGTAAAATGGTATTTCCTAAACAAATCAAATGTATTGTTCCTTGTGCCCATAAATGTGCCCAGTTTCAATGGGCCATCTCTAAAACACACTAGTTCCTGTGGTAATTGGTAAAGACCAGATTTCTAATCCATATGCCACACTTTTTGTGTTAGTCTAATGATGAACATGGGCATTAATGAACCAAAAAAATAACAACCTTCTTTTGAATGCGGAATGATCTCTTTCCTATTTACAGAGAACACAGCTGTAGTTGTAGTTGTTGCTACCTAACCAGGTCATATGAAAGAAAACGAGGAGAACACAGCAAATAGATTTGATTGCTCAGACTCTAGGTCCAGCACAAAGTGTTGCAGGTCTCTCCCATGAAAATTAACTAACCTTTGAAATGTCTGGTTGCACTCTGAAAAAGTAAGGGCAAGGATGAAAAAGGGCATTGCATGTAAAGCCTGTGTTGTGGAAGTAAACTTCAAAAAGTGGAAGATTTTGATTTGATTATTGGATAGGCACCTGATGACAGCATGCTAAGTGAGTCAAATCCTGTTGCAAAACAAGCAACTAGTGGTTAGCCACATTTCAGTTTAAAAAGCTTCAGACTGCATATTTTCTAGAACCTGTATAGCTCTGCATTTTAGGAAACTACATGTTGTTAAAATGCAGTACTGACTCAAAGCAAGATTAAAATCATTCTAATTAGAGAGTGTGGAAGTATTTAAAGAAAGAAAATGTGGAGGGTTAGTGTGAAGATACTGCAGTTGTCATCCTTTGAGATTTTACAAGATAGCTACAGAGTTGATGACTTAACTTGCTTGTACAAGACATTTGTTAACAGTTTTCAATTGCCAGAATATGCTTATTTTATTTGCCTGAGAACCGGCTTCAATAAAAATTATAGAATTTGGCATATTACTTTAAATCTTAATTCTGCAATGTTTATAGTGTTTGAAGTTCTTATTAGCTAGGTAGCCCGAGGGTGGTATGTTTTAGGGCAGTGCATCTATATTTGAAAAGTTCCACAAGTCATTCAACAAGACTCCAAAGTCAGCCATTGCATCAGGAAGACCAAACAAAAGCAAAGAGAGTGGAGTGATGCTGTTGTAGGTGCTAAAACAGTTTACCATGAAAGAAAAGGAGCCAAGTAAACAAAAGAGAATAAGAAAAAATTAGAAAGAAAATGAAGAAATTAAAAGAAGATAAAGATAAAGGAGAAAAGACATAAAAGCATTTTGGTGAGTCAGATTTAATTCACATATCTTACTTCCTACATTTCACTTTATTTCTTTAGAAGACGCTTCACAGTTCTATTAGGGATAGAGTGTGATATTTAGTCACAACCCTGCATTATGGGTAGTGAAGAGACATACCACTCCTGTAGAGGGGCGAGAGTGGATAAAAATCAATGATTTAAAAAAAAAAAAAAACCAGATTTTTTTTTTATTTAAATCAGATTTTTTTAATAAAATGCTTTTTGAGGAAAAAAACCCTATGTAAAGATAGTTTTAATTAAGATACATTATAGCTCAAATATATCATTATGGAATAGGGATTATAAATTCTAATTCTATAGTATGAGACAATATATTCACGTAATGTTTAAGAAAAGTTTTGTAAATGAGTTCAAATAGTTCAGGGATTAGGGACCCAATCTTATGGGGTTCCAGAGGCTTCCGTATAGATTATTTAGGTTAATCTTTCTATCTACCCAATGGGACTCAGTGCTAAGTCTAGAAGATACTATCAGAGATGCTTAGTTTTGTAGTTCTCAAACTGTGGATTTGTGTCTCCAGAGAGAACATGCTTGTTAACAGCAAAAATGTTTTTAAATAAAAATAATATATAGAGGTGAGAAATAACAGACCTCAACTCTATTGTCCCTCTGCAAATTTGTGTACACAGAGTCAATCCCTTACCTCTCTTTAAAAGTGCAAAGTTTCAAAAAGTTCAATGAATAGAAGATTGTTGGGGGGTGGAATAGATCTGGACAAGGAGAAGAAGTCTGGAGATAAATGTGAGAGGATAGGAACAGGCAGTAGAAACAGAAGTGAAACTGTTTGAGCAGCAAATTCCAGAAGTCTTGAGGTCTTTCTGAGTGTAGTCTTCATTGATTTGAGATCTACCATAGCATTCTCTCACTAGAAGGGAAAACGTATAATGGCAGCAGGTCATAAAAGAGACCCAGTTTGGGGGTCATCTATCTCTGAGTTGTGAAGAATATGTATTAAGGTTATAATAACCAACAAGAATGCACTTTTATGTAGAAATCCATATGTAGAAATTTTATGATTAAACTGAGTCTTCCTGACTAGTGATTTAAATCATGAAATTTGATTTAAATCAAATCCACCATGAGAGGCGCATTGTGAGGAAAAAATTTCCCTGGTATACTTCAGATTCCCACTCTTGGGTTCTTGGTTGGCTGCCTGAATCTCCTATTTTTCAGGCAGCTTCTTGGGAGGCCATGCAAATGAGTCTGAAATCAGCTCAGAGGCTCTGTGCTCTTCACTCATCTCTCCCTGCATACTGATTGAGCAGATGTTGAACTACTGCTCAGCAACGCAAATAAAGGCAGCTTTGCAGATGGTGGCCAGCAAAAGGAGCAGCAGGCTGCAACCCAGACCAGGGAGTTAGGTAGGAAACCTTAGCAGTCTGTCCCTTTCCAGCATATAACCAACCCACAGGGAAGAAAAACAAACAGTGCCTTAGGTCCCTCTAGCATTCAGGGGGAAAAAGTACTTCAGCCGGGGGAGAGAAGGGCAAAAAGGCGGGGGCGGGGGAGGAAACAAGCATACTCAAGAGAGGAAGGGGAAGCCTTAGAAAGGGAGAGACCCGGGAAAAGCCCAAGGGAGAAATCAAACAGAAGATGGATAGGAAACCTCAAGAAGAAGACAGAGAAAGAGATGGGGGGGACACCTAACTCAAGGGAAAGGGGAAGGTAGGGGGAACCAGAAAAAAGAAGGGCTGGAGGAATACTTAGGGTGGGGTAGGGGATATGGAAGACAGATACAGGAGGAGAGACTGGGGAAAACCTCAAGGGAACTGATGGATTACTTGGAAGAGGAGGATTGATAGGAGTTGATGGCTTGGGGGGAAAATGATGGGGTTGACAGTGAAGGGGAATATTATACAAATGAGATACTGCACCATCCTCAAATATGCAAATTTGGGCAAGATATAATTTGCATAAAAGCTCCAGATTTCCAGACCTTCCAAGCCTTAAGAAAGGAAACGAAGGTTGTGACATTGCAGTCTATATGATTTTATAAAAATATGCTAATGAGTGAATATAATGTAACTGGAATATGCTTCATGCAAAAGGTCTCTTGTAAGGTATCATTACAAAGCTTATAATCTACTGAGTGTGATCATCCTATTTGTATAAATGTACCACTCTTGTATCTGAAACTAGAAATATGAAATATAACTCTGAGGGCCTATTGTAATTATGCAAAGTGTGGGCCATTAATGGTGGTTTGGAATCTTGATGACTCCCATTAACCAGGACAATTGTCTGCAGATGGCTGTGTTTACCTGTAAGTCTTCCTGTATACATGTGTGCTGGCAAGTGGGCAATGATGTCTTGCAGTGACATGTGATCATGTCACCTGAACTGGAATCCATCTTTAACCTGGTGTCTTTCCATTGAGAAGGAAGGGGTGGGAACCTAGAGAGGGACAAAGGATTCCCGCCTTATGCAAAAGATATATAAAGGGGTGGAACAGAACAAAAGGAGTGGAGCCATCATGAAGAATCCCCTAATTACCACCTGAGCTGGAACAAGAGCTTTACCAGGGGAAAGAATTGTGCTCAGGCCTGAAAGGTGTCCAGTCTGAGGAAAAAACTTACTGAAGCATCTCTGAGGGTGAGATTATCTGTATTCAGTTTGATTAGACATAGATTTACACGTTTTATTTCATTTTGCTTGGTGACTTACTGTGTTCTGTCTGTTACTACTTGGAACCACTTACATCCTACTTTCTGTATTTAATAAAATCACTTTTTACTTATTAATTAACCCAGAGTATGTATTAATACCTGGGGGAGCAAACAGCCGTGCATATCTCTCTATCAGTGTTATAGAGGGCGAACAATTTATGAGTTTACCCTGCATAAGCTTTATACAGGGTAAAACAGATTTATTTGGATTTAGACCCCATTGGGAGTTGGGCATCTGAGTGTTAAAGACAGAAACACTTCTGTTAGCTGCTTTCAGGTAAACCTGCAGCTTTGGGGCAAAAGGGAAACAAAAGTAGAATTATGGGGAATTATATACTAGTCAGCCTAACTTCAATATCTGGAAAAATACTGGAACAAATTACTAAACAATCAGTTTGGACAAGCACCTACAGTAGGGTAATAAGTAATAGCCAATATGGAATTGTCAAGAACAAGTCATGCCAAACCAGACTAATTTTCTTCTTTGACATGGTAACGGCCCTAGGGAATGCGGGGGAAGCTGCAGACTTGATATACCTTGATTTTAGTAAGGCTTTTTACACAGTCCCACATGACATTCACATAAGCAAACTAGGGAAATGTGGTCTTGATGAAAGGGGGGGTGCACTCCTGGTTGAAAGACCATATCAAAGAGCAGGTATCACTGGTTCACTGTCAAACTGGAAGGACGTATCTAGAGTGGTTCCACAGGTGTCTGTCCTGGGTTCAGTACTATCCATTACTTTCATTAATGACTTGGAAAATGGAGTGGTGAGTATGCTTATAAAATCTGCAGATGACACCAAACTGAGAGGGATTGCTAGTGCTTGGAGGACAGGATTCAAAATAACCTCGACAAACTAGAGAACTGAAATCATCTAAATGAAATTCAATGAAAATAATGCAAAGTACTACAGTTAGAAAGAAAAAAAATCAAATGCACAACTACAAAATGGGGAATAACTGACTAAGGACTGAAAAGGATCCGGGGGTTACAGTGGATCACAAATTGAATATGATTCAACGAAGTGATGCAGTTACAAAAAGGACTAACATCACTCTGGGGTGTATGGACAAGAGTTTCATATGTAAGATATGAGAGAGATAACTGTCCTGTTGTAATCTGCACTGGGGAGGCCTCAGATGGAGGACAGTGTCCAGTTCTGGATGCCACACTTTATGAAAGATTTGGAGAAAGTTCAGAGGACAACAAAAAAAATGACAAAAATTTAGAAAACCTAACCTATGAGGAAAGATTAAAAAGAACTGGACATGTTTAGTACTGAGAAAGGAAAATTGAGGAGGGAACTGATAATAGTCTTCAAATATGTTAAGGGCTGTTAGAAGAGGACCGTGATCAATTGTTCTTGTCCACTGAAGGTAGAACAAGAAGTGATCAGTTTAATCTGTAGCAAGAGAAATTTATGTTAAATGTTAGGAAAAACCACCTAACTATACAAATAGACTTCCTAGAGAGGTTATGGAATCCCTGTCATTGAAGGTTTTTAAGAACAGGCTAGACAAACACCTTTCAGGGATGATCTAGGTATATTTGACCCTGCCTCAGCACAGTGGGGCTGGACTATACGACAGTGGGGCTGGACTATATGACTTCTGACGGTCCCTTCCAGACCTGCATTTATCTGACATTATAGTTAACCACAGAACAAAGATAAACGGTCAGGAATTTTTAAAATGGTATGCTTTAGTAGCAGGTAATTTCTCCCTGAATTTCAAGACCAGAGCACCAGTTACCCATTAGTATGTACACCAACAACACAATGAGAGTTATTTAGTCTACAAACAACATATATCACAAACATTTTCAGGACATTCTACTTCAATTAAAAATAATATAAAGTTTCTAAATTGCATATTAAAAATGAAGTCTATTAAATACAGATATAATATATAATAATTTCAACCAGAAAATAATCAAATAGTGGGAACATTCAAATATATTTTAATCCATTATTTGGAATGAGTGTTTGCAGGGGTACAGAATTCTTATGCCCTTTTCCCACTTAGATTTCCTAAAAAAATATGAAAGTTGTTAATTATGTATATTAATGTCTAATACAACAAAGATATAAATATAAATCTAATTATTTACAGTCTTGCATAACTGGCATAAATGACCCGAGAATCAACTACCATTAATGTTGTCTACCTGGATTCATCACTGCAAATTTCCTGTCCACACTACTGAAACATACATATTTTAAAATAATCTTCAAAACTCTAAATTCTTCCTTGGCATTGCCACTGCAAAACCTCCCTGTCAAGGTTACATATCAACATGGCAGGGCATCTAGTTCCCAAGGTAACCACAGTGTGAATCTGCAGGGGCAATTTATTTGGAAAAGAAGAGTTATCTGGTTGTGTAGGGGGTCAGTGTAAGAGTCAGAGGAAATAAAAGTGAGATGTCTGAATTTTTTAGTGCTGTTCCAAAATTTAATGTAAATATTTTTAAAAATTAACATTTCATGCATGCCTGTGCTTTCATGTGAGAGTTCTGTCCACTCACAATAAAACATAATAATTAGAAAAGCACAATAAATCTGCACAGGTGAAAGTCATACATTTCTCTTTTGAAATGAATCCTTCATGTATTATAAATGAGTCATTTTGTTACAGATGTGCAAGCAGTCATACTATAATGTGGTGATAACACCTTTATTTATGGAATTTAAGGCTCCATTGAAAGCAGTGAATAAATGATGAGCTCATTGGTGAAGACATTCACCAATTAACAAGCAGCAGCTGTTTGTCTCTCTTTTTTTAGGGCCCAATTGATTAAAATTGCATGCCTCATTTAAGCAGTATTTTCTTATACTTTTCCTGGAGGAAAAAAAAGGCAGAACACCCTTTTTTCAAATAGAGTAGTTGCTTTTCTGATTTATTAAACCACTATCCAACTGAATGCAAATTAGAAACCTAGAATCATAGTCTGTTTTCATGTGCATAATATAATGTTCACAGACTATTTTACAAATGGGTTAATGGAAAATATTTACATGCAACTGCAACAGTTAAAAGAAAGGAGTCTATATGGCAAGTTATTCAGGTTTAAGCCATATTTGCTTCACTATTTAATAAAATTGTTTATATTCATAGGAATTGCCATATCACAATGAAGAGTGAAGGTGCCAAAAGTGCAGTCATTGTGTCACATTTACCACAGAACTGCAAAATTAGGCAATGTTGGTCCATTGGCGGTGCCAGAGTACTGCAGTAAATTTACCACATGAAGATTACACGACCGTGACTGCTACACAATGAGATGCGAGTGTATGATCAGTCTATAAGTACCTACATGGGGAACAGAATGTTGATAGAGGGCTCTTTAATCTAGCAGACAAACAGGCATAACAAGATCCAATGGCAATCATGCAGGTCACAGACAAAAGCCTGAAAACATGACTCAAATGTGACTTAAAGACTAAGAACCCAACATTTATTATTTTTAATATCTTATGATTAAGCCAATTTCATGATTTTGGGGGCCGGACTGATGATTGTTGAACACTTGAGGCTGGTAATACTGCATCTCCCTTTGCTTTTCTATGTTCAAGAATCACATCTTGCAGTTGGTCTCTCCTGCTGAGCAGTAAATTGTACCTCTTCAGCTTTAACTTTTAGAATGACAGCAGAAACACAACTTGTTCAGAGCACACAATACACAGATATGATTCCTGGACACACACAACAATAAAGAAAACTAACATTCTCAATAAAAAAAAATTCTAAGTAAATTATATGAAATAGAATAGGCCAGAAAACATGAAAAATGTGTTATTAGGAATATTTTTATTCACAAGGGATATATATTCCACCACTCATGGCCCTGTCTCTGTCACTCATAAATTCGGAAGACATCTTTCACTGATTAAAGTATTTCTGATTCTTTCCCTTGTGCTATTCCCCAATGAGACAATCCAAATCAGAGAATCCCATGTCCCACTCTCTCTGAGACAGAGACATTCTCTAGCCTTTCTTGAAACCTGTGGCTGACAGACTCAGATATATTTTCTGTTCTTCCTCTTTAAGGGACAGACCTTTATTTCAGTTTGAGAATAAACCTGCTTTTGAATTCAAGTGAAGTGAGTGAAAAAAGAAACCACAGTAGCATTTGATGGAACTAGTAACACTCCTGGCCTATTTTCTACTCCTTCACTTGGGGTCTGAATAACATGAAGAGGAAATTGAAATAGCACACTATATTTTGTAAAATTAAGCTACTATTTTAGAGAATACAGAACAGCTTGTAGGTGACTCAGAACCCATAATACTCTTAGAATAAGTAATAAATTTATGTTTACAAAATATACATTTCAATTTTTGTGAATTCCGAATTACAGTTTGCAATTCAACAGCTATTTTATATCAATTTTTTTTTAAATAGTAAGGAATTTTGTAATTTTTGTCACCTTATAATAAATTAAAGTCTGTACTTACTTGTAGTGGATACAGAGACAGCTGGACTATAAGCACACTCCCCTGTAGGACTAGTAATCTTTAGTCGAAATCTGTAGGTCGTTCTTGGCTGAAGACCTTCTATGACATGTTGTCTAGCATAGCCCCTAAAAAATCTCTTATATAATAATTCATATAATATTTTTCAAACATTTTGGCAAACAACATTTAAGCATAATGTCCTGATGCATAACTGCTCAAGCAAAAATGTACATACAGTTTTAAACCACTGCTCCCACGCTGATCTATCTACAGGATCTAGACCTTACAGCTGTGTCTACATTGGGAAAGTTTTTGCAGTATAAGCTAAGTTGTGAATTTAAACCAATGAAGTTATACTGATATAAATCCAGTGAGGACACACTTATTCCAGGATAAGAATGACTTTTTTCAGTTTATTTTATGTCACTTGGGAAAGGATTTAAGCTAACCTGAAAAAAAACACTCTTATCCTAGACTAAAAGCATCCACATAGGGGATGACTGTACAGTAACTCCTCACTTAACGTCCTCCCGCTTAACGTTGTTTCGAAGTTACGTCGCTACTCCATTAGGGAACATGCTCGTTTAAAGTTGTGCAATGCTCCCTTATAACGTCGTTTGGCTGACTTTACAAGGGAGCATTGCACAAGTTCCTCTTCTCCGCCTCCTCCCCCCACCCCTTCCTCCCTCCCTCCCAGGGCTTCCCCCCTTAGGACTTTCTGGGAGGGAGGAAGGCAGGGAGCGAGCGAGCGGGGAAGCTGCAGCCCCCCCCGCTCTCCTGGGCAGGCAGGGCTACCCAGAACGCAGAGGCCGGAGAGAAGCGGCGCTTTCCCCTTCAAAGCCGGCCAGAGAGACTAGAGTTACCATCCGTCCAGGTTTCCCCGGACATGTCCGGCTTTTTCAGCTTTAAATGGCCGTCTGGGGGCGTATTTCTAATAAAGTAGAAATGTCCGGGATTTCCCCCTTCCCCTCATGCAGAGTGCGGCACGGCTGATTGGACGGCTGGGCCTGATTGAAAGCCGCTCGCAGCCACTGGGGCCTCTAGCAGCCAGAGTCCCTCCACCTCCCCCGCTCCCTTCTCCCCCGCAGAGCAGCGTCACAGTGTTTGGCTGCACGTGGAGCTCGCAGCTCTCCCTCGGCCTGGTGGGGGGGGCAGGCAAGGGACAGGGAACGGGGGGGGTTAGATTGGTCGGGGGTTCTGGGGGGCTGTCAGGAGAAGGGGGTGTAGAGAGCAGTTGGGGCAGTCAGGGGACAGGGAGCAGAGAGACTTAGATAGGGGGTGGGCTCCTGGGGGCAGTTAGGGTGGGGGGGGTCTCAGGAGAGGGCAGTCAGGGGACAGGTAGGGGGATTCTGAGGGGGCGGGAAGTGGGAGGGGGTGGGGCTGGGGCGGGGCTAGGGAGGCACCCCGAGTCCTCTTTTTTGATTGTTGAAATATGGTAACCCTAAGAGAGACGCTGCAGGCCAGGGCCCTGGGGCCCCCTTAGCCCAGGGCCCTGCAGCCCCTAAAGCCCCTGCGTTCAGGGTAGCCCTGCCTGCCCGGGGGGGGGGGGGGCAGCTCCCAGAATCGAGACCATGGAGGCGGTGCCGCGCTGCGCAGAGCCACCTGCACACTCCCTGCACCAAACAGGAGCTGCCCCAGGTAAGTCCTCTGCACCTCCTATCTGCCCCAGCCCTGAGCCTCCTCCCACACCTCCATCCTGAGTGCCCTCCCACACCCTAACTCCCTCCCAGACCCAGCACCCCCAGTCCTGAGCCCCAGGAGGAGAATGGAGAAAAAAAAATGAAAAATGGGGGGGCGGGGGAGATAAGAGAGAATGCTCCCCCCATGGGGGGGGCCAAAAATGAAGCTGAGCACAGGGCCCCACTAACTCTAAATCTGCCACTGGTGGGAGGGAGAGGAGCGGAGAAGCGCCGCGTCTCCGCTCCTCCCCCTCCCTCCCAGAAAGTCCTAAGTGCTGCCAAACAGCTGTTTGGCAGCAGGGAAGCGTTGGGAGGAAGGGGGAGGAGCGGGGACGCAGCATGTTCTGGGGAGGAGATGGAGTGGGGGTGGGAAGAGGCGGGCCTGGAGTGGAGCGGGGACGGGAAGAGGCAGACCTGGAGCATCCCCCGGCAAAGTCAGCACCTGTTCTTCTGGGGGGGAAGCTGCTGCTGCGCAAGATGCTGCGCAAGGTGCTTCCTAGCGCCCTTGCCTGCCTCATTGTCTGCAGCGGGCTGTGCCTGTGTGGGGTAAGCCAGGGGCACCTCCCCACCACAGTAGAGTACAGTGCTGTACAGTATATAATGCCTTTTGTCTGCCCCCCCAAAAATTCCTTGGAACCTAACCCCCCGCATTTATATTAAATCTTATGGGAAAATTGGATTCATTTAACATTGTTTCACTTAAAGTTGCATTTTTCAGGAACATAACTACAACGTTAAATGAGGAGTTACTGTACCTATATAACTATATCAATATAACTGGCAAAACTCTCTCATCTTGACAAAAGCCTAATTTATACACCCATTTAAGGTTAAGTGAGCATGTAAATTAGATATTTTCAGATGCAAACTGCCCATTAGAAGCATAAACAGCCATTTGCCTATACAAATACCTAATCTGTGCATGCAGTTGCTGCAAGTATATCTGAAAATTAGGCACAGATCTGAGCGCATCTTTATAAACCAGGTGCTGAATATATAGTTTTGTTGTCATTTATAGCTTAAATACATTTTGCAGCAGTAATACCCCAATGGGAAAAAAACAGGTGTCTAATAAGTTTATTTTACATAACAAATACAAAGTGAAAGGGTTAATTAATTATTTACAAGAATTCTATAGAGTTTGCCCTTTGACACCTACTGCATCCAAGATGCAAAATTTCTTCTTCTAAAAATGCTATATTTATCAGATTTTTTTCCCCAAAACCCAGCATCTTAAAAACATTTTAATTTTAAAATATATGAAATGTGAAAGAAACTGCTTTGGCGGAGCATGAAAGGTCAGTATTAATACAGTCTAATTCTGCCACCTAGTGACAAATCTTACACTGTAAGGTTTTCTAAATATTGGGAACCATATTATGCGTTACTGAAGAATCTGGAGTCAGTGCAGCATGCCATACAACAGTGCAATGCAAAAGGCTCAAGTTAAGAAGTGACTAGTCTTAAGAAGTTTGATCTCCTGGGGCTTTAGGGGAAGGCAAGTTGTACTGTGAAGAACAGCATACAATATCAATCCATGGACTGCTTTACAAACAAGCTGCTCATTTTACAGATTTTATGTTGGTGTCTGTTTATATACAGACATGAGCAAAAGGGAAGGGAAGGAGCAGATCCTACAGCCTCTGCCCTCTAACCCTAACATCCCTAATCACTCTTAGCATCATCTTAGCTCCTTACTCCTACAGAGGCAAGTTCTGCACTTTGCTAACTAATCATTATTCAAGTTAGGCACAATGTGGAAGGGAAATAAAAGGGACTCAGTGCTCATTTTGTGGGAGTAGGATATGAAGCCACTTTGGGGTGGGGGGTGACTAGTGCCCCTCTCTCCCACATTTTGCCTATACAGACCATAACCCATGGAAAGAAAAGAGAGGTCATCCCTAATAATATTAAATATATTCTCATGGGAACTGGCCATCTTCTCCCAGATGATTGTACCACTTTGGAGCTGTCAGCCAGCAGGTTGCATGGTAGGTTTAGTTTTCTTTTCAGCTATCTGTCAGCCAAGCAGAATCCACACCTCACACACCCACTATGTGAAATTCTGGCCCCAGTGAAGCCAATGGGAGTTTTGCCATTGACTTCATGGGGGGGCCAGGATTTCAACCATTGTCTCTCAACATCACCTAACATACTGACAGCCATATATAGCAGTTAAGGGGACAGTCACTAATTGTGACCAAAATTAACAGCCATGTAGGTGTTACTCAGTTGCTTCAGGTATGCACCCCTCATGATCAAGCAAGGTGGAGCAGAGTAACAACATATTCTTTTTTTTACAACAATTATAGGTAATACATGGTATTACCTCAAAAATTGTGTTTATATTAAGTAATTTATTTAAAAAGAAATTAGATTTTAAAAATTGAATGAAAAATGTAATAGTTTTCAGAACATAACAAAAACAATATTGCCACCATAATAAATATTTAGCATTTCTTCATCACTTTTCATCTTCAAAATGCTTTGCAAGTCATAACTTAAGATAAAACTTCATTAACATTGCACCTACGTATAAATGGTACCATAGGTATGTAATTTGGGGTCCTCTTCTTCAATTGACATCTTTAGCCATTGCTCTTGAGGTCCTTTTCTTTGTGCTGTATTTTCCAAATCCCAAGAGAGTTGAATGCTGTGGTGGGTCACCTCACCTACAACTGGAGGATGTGGTTTTGGGATAGTATGTTTTCCTAAAAAATATTTCAAAATGTTATTTCTATAACATAAAATGTAAAAAGATCTTCATCTGTGTGAAACTGCATTTTAGGTGTTCATTGATTAGTTTTGTTATTCCTATTTTGATTAAGATCTTGCATTTTTCAAATATTTTTGACGTATATTGGATTTATCCAAGAGTACACACTCACGTATAGAGAAGAACACTCTTAAATTTTGCATCCCTTTATCTTGCAAGTAAAATCATATTTTAACTCATCACTTGACAGGGAAGTAATACATAATTATTGTGCAAAGATTACTTAAAAAACATAATGCTGAGTTGGTGCAGTGGATATATATGTAGTTTGAAGTGTGTACTGAATGTGTTTTAAGTACACTACAATTTGTACATAAAAAGAAACTCAAGCCTGAGACATCCAAGATGCCACAAGCTTTGGAACCCATTTTAGGAAGCTTATGAATGTTACAGTTCATCAATAGTGAAGTGTCCCAAGTCACAAAACAAAAAAGTCTAGGCTAAGATTTCAGAAGTTACATACAGTTAGTTAACATTATGCTCATTTAAACTAATCAGTGAAAGTCCCCTTATTATATAATTTGTTTCTATTCCATTTTAAACATCCTTCACATATATAGTCTAAGGAACACATACTGACTATTTCACATTGTTTATTAAATGTTCAAGGGATGATGTCTCTCATGCTATCTGCAGTGGCTCACAACTGTGACTGCCTATCTCAAGGCAGACTGTCAGAAAACAGGGTAGACACCCCAAGCTGGTGGTATTTCATCAAACCAAATGTGAACTCCTGGGTCACTATACCAGTCTTACCATGGAGTCACAGACTCTCCAGTCTATCTTGCCAAGCAAACTGAACTTTGTGATAAAAGTTTACATAAACCGAAAATCACATCACATCAGGTTGCTCCCAGTCTCAAGAGACCAATCACTTACCCTCGATCTTACACAAAAGACAACACAAGTAGCCAATTCTACAGTAAACTAAACGAAGGTTTATTAGATAAGAAAAGGAAGTGAGAGTTATTGAGAGGTTAAAGCATGTAAAATATATATAAAGGTGAGTCACAGTTTGTAATTCCAAATGGTGGCAGTGATGTAATAAACTGCCGGTCTCCCAAAAAATATTTCAGGGCTACCCAGAATAATTTTGGGAATCTCTGTCTTCTCGTTCAGTTTCTCTGACCTGTTAGAATACAAACAGTCCAGAGATGCAGGATTTTTCCTCGAATCCATATTTTAATTTTCTTCTGACAGAAAGCAAGCTGACAGTGTCTCTACCCACATGGGCTTTTCATTTGATGACAGTGAGTGAGGAAAGCACTTTGAGTCTGACCTTCAGTCATCGCACACCATGGCCACTTGCTTTGAAATTAGCCTTTTTTCTGTTAAAGTTCTTCATTTGCATTTCATAAGGCTTCTTTCTTGTCTGATTTATTCAGTTACAGGGATATTTACAATGTCGATGTTTGCTATTACATTAGAACATGACACACAAGTAAAATAATACATGTAAGATCCATTAGTTTTCATGTAGTTTAAACACCAAATACACTCTTATAAATTTAACAATTACTTTGCTCTATACTAATACACAAGTGAATTGACCTGAATACTCTCTGGCATGACCTGATCTGCTAGCATCACAATGTCAATCATCTCTTCAGCACTATGAGTAAGCAACTGCTGAATAAACCAATACATTTTGTTCTCAAGTTTTGAGTTTTTCAATTGTGTAAAGAGAGACTAGCTGCAGGGGAGGGGGGGGGGAAAGAGGTGGAGGCCTGAGACTATCTTAGCTCTGGTCTACACTGGGGTGGGGGGAGGAAATCGATCTAAGTTACGCAACTTCAGCTACATAAAATAACATAGCTGAAGTCGTCGTACTTAAATCTAATCACTGCGGTGTCTTCACTGTGGTGAGTTGACTGCTGATGCTCCCCCTAGACTCTGCCTGTGCCTCTCGGCCTGGTGGAGTACAGTTGTTGACGGGAGAGCGCTCGGGGGTCGATTTATCGTGTCTAGATAAATCGACCCCCGCTGGATCGACCGCTGCCCGCCGATCTGGCAGATAGTATAGACATACCCTCAGTCATACATCTCAACCTGGCCCAACTGTAGGAAGCAATGTATAGCAAAGAACCAAAGGTACACAAACATTATTTATGCAGGAAACTTAAAAATTATGTGGGATTCATTCCTTTAGTGTAAATGAATTTATCACCTGTTTCATAATTATTTGGTTTTGATGTAGATAATTTTCAAAAATAAAGATGAGGGGACACTAAATTTGTGCAGATATTAGGTGACCCTGGATCTAAAATGAGTGACATCCCTTGAAATGAGGGACATCTGAGAGGTAAGGATCTGGTACCTGAGACTAAAAATACAATTAAAACTGGTTCAAGTCCTTGCCTCTGACCACCAGCAGTCACTGCTCCAGCGCTGCTAAGCAACCAGAGAATTCCAAGTATACTTTCATTGCCCTCCTCATTGCTTTCCATAAGCTGGAGGTAGCTACAAACAGCAGCAGCTTCAGCTAGCCTCCACATTAACGATGCTGTAATCCTATCACGTATCCCACAATGTGGAGAATGACAATGAGATTCCTCAGGGAAATGGGAGAAAAGAGGGAACTGTTAAAACCCCGTGTAGAGGCGGAAAGAGGACAACAGGACTCAGAGAGGGGAGGAGGGCGAGAAACAGGGAGAGAAGATGAACCTTATACTGGGGACAGGCAAAAATAAAAGGGTACCCAGCAAAGGCGGCAGAGGGAGAGTGGAAAGAGGGAAACACTATACTGAGGGATAATTTGGGAGAGGGAGGAGGGGATTAGTGCCCCCATAAAGTTGCCAAAATGAGGGAGCAAAGTTATTGCCTGCCCCAATCACACTAGATAGGATAGCAGGTTGCTAGATTTTTCCCCCACCAGTGAGTTACGGCCTAAATGGGGAAAGGTGATTTTGTGGGAGAAGATCACAAAATATTAGGGAGAACCTATGGATTCAGATTCACATTTTGGAATGTTTACTTTAATCTTAGAACTTTTAAAGTTCTCCTATCAATAGTTTTGCATGTGTTATATGAATGGCAAAGTCTGTAGCGCCAGCAATGCACCACTGTGATGAAACAACATACAGTGAGACAATATCAACAGTCTACATACATTGAGTGTAAGATATAGTGGATTTCTGGCTTGGTAGGAGAGCAGCTCTTTAAGAAAACTGTATTAGTTTTGAAGTTTTAAATGACAAAATATTTTTATTTTTAAAACCCTCACCAGAATATGCACTTGACCCCTCTAGTAGCTTAGGGCTCAGCTATGTGGAAATTGTTCCTAGCAAAAATATTAATATGCTAGCGATTATAAATGTGCAATGAACTCAACTTTTGCATGAGGTTTTCTTAGAATATTTTCTATAATACCATTATGAACAGACAAATAGTTTCTCCAAAATTAAGACTGCAAACAGGATTTCATTACAATAAGGTGATTTTCATATGCATTACTCTTAAAATTCAAGTGTCTGTTATGTAGGGTAAGTCCCAGGGTGTAACAGTTTTTTCCACTAAATCTGAAGGAAATTTGGAGACAAACTTTCGGAGTTAAACAGCTAAAAAAAAAAAAATACTCTGAAATTTTGCATTACTCTATCTTACTAAAGGCAATCAAATTTTAATATTTGGTGGACAAGTTGTACACTTAATTGTACATTATTATTATTACTCCTGAGGGCACTCTGTGCCAAAAAATTAAAAATTCTGTGTGCAATATTTTAAAATTCTGCAAGTTTTATTTGTCAGTAAATAAATGCAGAGGCTCCAGCATGGCAGTGGGGAGCACAGGCCACTAACTGCTCGAAAGTGAGAGATCACCCTGCAGCCTCCACACCCACCTTGGGGATACAGACTCAGTGGTGAGGCTGCACCCGACCCTGACACAGCGCAAGGTCTGGGCCTGCCCCAGAAACATCCTGGGGCCCTGCCCCTCTGCACCAGGTGTGGGACAGGCAGACTCAACCAGGCAGGATCCAAGTGTGGAGGGGCTCAGTGTGGGGAGATCTAGGTGTGGGACAATCTGGGTGCAGGCAGCTTAGTGTGGGGGGATCTGGATTCACAGAGGCTTGCTGGGGGGGGGGGGTCCAGGGGCAATGGGACTCTGCTGGGACTTCCAGGTGAAAGCGATTGGGGCTCAGCAGAGGGGTCTGGGTGTGAGGAAGTGGCGTGGAGGTCTGGATGCAACTAATTGAAGGTCAGTGGCATGGGGGTCTGGAGGTGGGGCATCGGGGTGGTGCGGGGGGTGGGATTTGTCAGGGTGGAAGTTTGAGTGTAGGGAGTTCAGTGGGGGTGGTCTGGAGGCAGGGGGTCTGGCTGCAGGGGGCTCCAGATGCAGGGGTTCAATGGGGTAGGGTTCATGTATGGAGGGCTAGGGGGGTTCTGGGTGAACCGGGTGAGGCTTGGCGGGGGTGTCTGGGTATGGGAGGTCCAGATGCATGGGGGTTTGGCAGATGGGGGAGCAGTTCCCTGTACAGTGACCCCTCCCCCCACAGCTGAGGAGCGATGGGGGCAGGAAGCAGGGGAGGATGCTGAGCTTCCTGCAGCTGGGGGAGGATTCTGGTGGTGGGTCTGATACAGCCTCAGCACACTCGTTACAGGAAAAGTGGAAGTCCCATCCTCTCCTGCCTCCAGCCCAGCCAGGACTAGCAGCTAATCCCAGCTCAGGGTAGAAGCCACTGGCTGGGGTGTCCCCAGCCCTGCGGTGATTTACCTCTCCGCAGCTGCTCCAGGTGCCTGAAACGATGTATCTGCACAACTAGGTAGTGGTGCGTGACTGCTCTTGCCGATTCCCTTTGCTTCCCTGTCAGAAAGTCAAAGGAAGCAAAGAAATCTGCGGGGGACATGAATTCCCAGGAGTGAATTACTGTGCATATAATACTTTATTTATAAAATAAAATGGAAACAATTCTCACTCTTAACCATTAATAAATGGACATCACAGAAGT